TCCTCGAGAGCCTGACGAAGCTGATCTTCGGTATATTGAGGCATTATATATAGAAGAAGACATGTGCAAAAGATGAGCCCATTTGGACGCGAATTGAAAATGTTGTGATAAAAGGAGGTTGGGGGTGGGCATTGGGTTGTGGTGGATTTTCGCGTTTTTGTGGGTGCCAGAAACAGGGGGGTGCCAGGAAGTGGGTATGTTGACTTACCCCATGCCAAAGTAAATGCGAGTAGGAACAAAGTGAGCATGAAAGATTCCAAAAGCTCCAGCCAAGCAACTGAAACAATATAGATACTGATAATCGCCTTATACAAGGCTCGTTTACGCCAGCCTGGCGGTTTCTGTAGTGTGCGCTTCGCGGCCATCTCGAGAAAGTACTCCAATTGGGATCTTCCCCAAAATCGTACCCAATCCCGACTACTGTCGAAAAATTGACACAGTTTCCAGGCGAAGGCGCCGATCAAGGAAACATACGAAACCCAGGAATCACTGTGTTTCTTTGAGCCATAAGTTCGCGTATCCCAAAAACAACGAACAGGTAGACCTGGTTGCATGAATCGCCAGTCAAAATACTCATGGCGCAAATTTCCGGGCCATTTCGATGAGACAGTTGGAACCAGGGCCACAAGAAGGAGTCCTAGAATCAAGATTATGGCGGATACTCGAATAGATCGTAGTGTCCTGCTGGCCCGTAGTCTATCTCGAAGTACTGATAATGACATGAGATGGACTGTTGAGCTAAGCCACGCCAGATATACAACGGCGTTCCAGTGATAGGCGCTAAGATTGGCCCCCAATGCTTGAGTATAACCGGCTATGAGGATGGTGAGACCGGTCAGAAGCTGTTGATCGCTGAGCATCAGGACTAGCTCCACGAACATTTTCCTCCATCTATCTTCCGACTGTTCTGGGCGAGCGAAAAAGAGCCTTCGGTCAATATTACGAGCCAGACCCTTCGGCAAGGCTCCAAACCAGTAAGCCCATACAATGAGAGCAAAAACTAAATAGGCGGACACCACAAAGGCCGTGAGCACCTGTAGGCTATGTAAGTAAGGTCTCTGATATCATGTGAGGCTATCGGACTTACCCCATTCCCAGAGATGTCTGGGTTCGGGTAAACGGTCACCTCACAATCTGAATAACGTGTACAATTGTCCACAAAAGCCTCAACTTGGCTGACTAGAACATTGGGAGAATAGCCTAGCTTGGGACCATCGTTTCCACTCCAGTCAGTGAAGGTTTCAGTGGTGGTCCTCGTCACTGCTGCGGCCGCTGCAGTTCCGAATGTGCAAAACGTTATCGTCGTCGTCTCCTGGTTGATGAGCGTGGGTATCGCATTGGAGGTAGTAGACATTCTTTGTAGACGATAACTCTTGGCTGGTGAATTTTGGACCTGGCGAGTTTTGAAATCCTCATGAGAGAAGCACGCGGATGAGAGGGAAAACTCGGCTTGCTCGACCTTATGTGAAGTCTGCGGCGAACGTTTGTTAATCAGGCTGTTTGGCAGAAAGGCTTCGGGTGGTAGCCTAGACTGACGTAATCGAGCGAAGTGACGGGAGAAGTCTCATCTGATAGGCCTGATTAAGCCCCTAGTTTCCGCCGCTAGTGTGCATGAGTACATTGCACTTTGTGCTTGTGGCACATCCCATGCCTCTGGTTGGGGTCTTGAGGAACAGGAAACCTTCGGTGCAGCCTTTCTCGCCCCCTTTCCTCTCCAGCCGTACTTGGCGGTGAAGATATCTATCATTCGTAGGCGACAAAACCTGTGGAAGAATGGAGACCAGCTAAGATTCACGCTGTACCTTTTCTAGGCTGCGGACTTGCTTTTGAGGTAGCTTATCATACACTGTTTGAGATGATCAGTAGTTCTCAGTACCATCCAACCAGGAGACCACCTGGTAACATGCAAACTAGCTATGTGAGTTGGGGTCAGATCACAGTATGACTGAACGTCACTCCTAAACGATGTGAGCGGGGTAGAACGAAGTCGGAGGATCTATTATTAGGAGCTGGGCAGTTCTAGGTCATCACTGCTGGGATCTGACTTGCTGACTGCATGAAAGCCCTCCGTCGTTAGCAAGACACCTGACTAAAAAGTATTTATGCTCAGACAGATATGATTCCGGTTATCACAATCACCCCAGCCACGATCCATCCAAACGTAAGAATTTTGGCCTGAATCAAACCTCCTGAACGCAAATCAATGCGATCTTGTGCGGAGCAAACTACATGGTATTGCCCGCTTGCCTTCTTCTCAAGCTTATCGAAAGGCTCACATGAAAAAGAGCCTTCAGCATAGATTTGAAGGTATTCCGTCCGGTTGGCGAGCGCCTCTTTGCTGAGTTTGTTTCGAAACTCAAAGTAGGAATCGCTTCAACATATCATTAGTATTTTTCGTCCCACATCATCATCGGAGACACGAAAGAGCTTACAAAAACTGTTTAGACAAATCCCCCCTTAGGTAACTTTCTCCCATATTTGGGCGGGGCCAGTACCACGACCGTATCATCTCACCCTTTTCGGACACTCGATACTCTGTTGATAAATTCAAGTTGAGGTTGTATCCGATGTCGAGGCTGAAGTCTTCCCACTGCTCTGCCTGTGGTGGAACCGAAAGCCACACTAAGTCCCGTTCGTTCCTGATTGTGAGATTGCCCAGATGGTCGAAAGGTAAATCGAGATGCTGATAAAAATTGCCGCCGAAGCTACTAAAGCTACCCACACTCAACGTCTTGAGGTTTACTAGCCGCTCAATGCCGTTAAGGCTGTATGTTGCTTGAATACTGCCAATTGTTTGTTCAGTGATACCAGATCCGCCCAGCACCAGCGTGAGATTGTTTGGCTTTCCGGATGTGCTATAGGCGAATTTCACCTTGCCAATCTTCGCGGCGCCAATCTGAAGGCGCTTGACTTTGCCTGAGTTGTAGATGGAAACGTCGTCCACTCCGAGTTGAGGTTCCTTGAAGAATGCGTCGAGAGACTCGAGACCGCCTAACCCGAGCTCCATGGATCTACCATCAATTGAACCGTCGCGATTCGTGATACCGGTGATATTTCGAAAGGCGCTCAATTTCAAATTCGTCAATTTGGGTGCATACATGAGTCGCATATATCCCACTGACTCTAATCGGTCGACGTCGAGATACTTCAAGCTTTCCAGGCCGTGAAGAACGAAGTTTTCGCCGACCGATTGCAGTTCTGGAAAGCTGAGGCCTGAGATCCATCCGTCGTATGCTAATATCATCGAACCGTTGACTCTTGTGATGGTACTGGAAGAGATGCTTGTGATACTGTGGTTGTATCCAATGCACTGCGCTGAAACCTGTGGGCATTGAGAGTCGTTCACAAGGTCGCCATGAATAACCTTGACTCCCTCGAGGGCAATCTCCTGAGCGGATGCTCCAGTGATGACAGTAACATTTCCAAAGATCTCGGGACAGTTCCGCAGTGCATCTGCATCCGCTTGTGACGTGATCACCACGGAACCACACTCCTGGCCGATGACTTCTGTTGGTTCAAAGGGTCGTCAGTCAAATCACGGGCAGGCCTCATTTCATGTCTTCTTACGATGCTGCCCAACGATGAGGGCTAATAAGAACCCATTTCTCCAAGGCGATGACCCAAACATGTTGCAAAGACCGAACTACAATCAGTCGCAAGCATACCTATTGAAGAGCGGGCGCTGACTTCCTTAAAGACAACCAAATTCCCCCGTTATTTCCAAAGCTCCACTGAATTAGCTACCTGCATTGGGGCACATGCCCGTTCACCAGGAGGTAGGGCTGGCAAAATAAGCTTAAGCCTGATGGTTAACACATAAACTGCTGCCTACCAAACCAACCGTCGGGATGCTGGCTCCGATAGAAGGCTTGACCACAATTTCCTCACGAAGACCGGGCGCCTGCCCCTGGTCGATTTGGTGGACAAAATTACAAGCATCCCGAAGAGCTGAAATCGCAGGGTCTTAATGCAGGGTCAAATCGTCTGACCTGCCTATTAGGTAGTAGCTTCGTAGCTGCCAAGTCCGCCCTACCCGAGGAGGAATCTTGACCGAAGCCAACGGCCTCATCTGGGATTTCTCATCCGAACTTGAACCAAATAACACAAAATTCAGAAATCCACGACTTGTGCAACAACGCGTCTTGATTGCGTGTCAAGTACGCGAACTATAGAGGCCAGCTTCTCGACATCAATTGAATTTTGCGTTTGCAAATCACGTCCACGGCAGTCACAGAAAGTTTTGTAGAACTTGGTTGAGCGCCGAAACAGCACCCAGCATTCTCATTCCAATTCTGCCGCGGTCACCACCTGCCTGTTAGAGCACTGGCAGTTGATTAATCATGGAAGTCATGAAGTTGCAAGAGAGTTAGAATGTCATAGGGCAGCACCAAGTGACGGATTGCAATGAACTGTTTGAGAAGACTTGGTGCTATGACAGACGTGATCCCCTAAGATTTGTTGTCTTTTGTGAACTCAACCGCAACTTCGTACGACGCAGCATGAGTTTCGAAAGACTGTGCGGCGACTGGAATGGAGGGCACTTCGCGTGTTTTTGTTTCATTTTAAGACAGAAATTTGAGGCCAAAGCATTCAAGCAAGCCTTTGGGCCATAGAGACAACCAGACGATGAACTTACCTACTAACAGAAAGCTCGGTTTTTGGGTGATTCAGGACGATTCTTCTCAAACAGTCAGACTGTTTGCAGAATTGGGAGGCAGCATCAATTACCATCACTCACAGACAGGTACTAATGCTGGCTATGTGTAGGTTTCTCCGTAGTCTCCGGATCCGGGTTGGTGGTAAGAGGCTTGTACCTCCATGATCTAGGCAGAGACTAAGTCGTTCTTTGGACACTTTTCAGTGGCTTACAATGCCGATTTTCATCTTGGCACTCGTGGTAAGGATCTACTTCTCCGGTGTTCCTCACCCGCTGGGCGCACTCACGACTCAAGAACCCCGTCGGACTTTGAGTTTATTCCCCGTCGTGATACAAAACTATCGACGACATGGTCTCTCCTAACAAGATTTATCTTGGCAAGTATGCGACTTCTGGAGAAGCCTATCATTCTTGCTACAATTTCCAAAGATAGAGGGAGGCTCAGATGAGTGCCAAGTCGAGGTTAATCAATCTGAACTTTACGGAGTGTCTTTGCTGACGAACGCTTCCCTCACCACTGGGCTTAAAGGACTGGCGATATTCCATTTCAAGTAGATTGAATGAAATCATGTTAGATCTTGTTCCCTGATACCTCTGTTCTCTTCATACTGCCACTACCGTCAACATTTTCCTCCAATTATCAGCGACCATGAAACAACCAGTGTACATCCTGTTGTTGCTCCTAACATTTGTCGTCTCCTCCGCGGGGACGATCGCACTCACCTTTGCACCATGCTACGCAACATTTTGCTCCGAGGACTACTTCGAATTCGAGACTAGATTACACCTTTTAGTCTACTTCGGCTTAGTCGCCGGCTTCGGCTGCTTTCTCCTCCTTCGATCTTATACCACGTGGGTTCATGCCCTAAGTAGTTACCATCTCATGCGCATACCTTTGGGAGGTAAACGTGTCACTTTTGGTGGTCTTTGGGCAAGTATCTGGATAGTCGCGGTGGTTGCCTCCACGACTCTGTTCTGGCTGCCAGCTCAACGGGACTTCTGGGGTTTCAGAGCAGACCCCTTGGGATGGGCGAGTGCTAAGCTTAAACTCACGATCACGGGGGTGACTGGTCACTATGCCGATATCCTGCTCGGACTATTGGTGATCCCAGTTTCTAGGAACAGTCTACTTGGAAGGGGGTTCTCGTTGCATCACAGCACACTATTACATGCGCACAAGATCATTGCCTATCTCTTTTCGGTATCAGCAACCGCTCATGGAGTTACATACCTTGTAAGTCTTTGGTTCAGTCCCGGCACCTTGTGCGATTTCTAACAGGTAGTAGCTGTAAGTCAACATACCCACTTCCTGGCACCCCCCTGTTTCTGGCACCCACAAAAACGCGAAAATCCACCACAACCCAATGCCCACCCCCAACCTCCTTTTATCACAACATTTTCAATTCGCGTCCAAATGGGCTCATCTTTTGCACATGTCTTCTTCTATATATAATGCCTCAATATACCGAAGATCAGCTTCGTCAGGCTCTCGAGGA